ACTTGGGCTGTGATCTTCGGGTGGGTCGAACTTTCCGCACCCCGCAGTATTAACATTATTACTATTAGTATTAAAAGTAATTATATTAAAGGTAATGTTAATATTAATAATTAAGCTTCTTTCAGAACAGCTGCTTCGGCCAGCAAGCGAGTCACAGCGAGCCCTGGTTTGCTGAGTTCACACCAGATTTTGCCGTGCATCCAACCATGGGCCGAATAAGACAAGAGGGTACTGGCAGCGTCCATTGTTCTACTCCAAATCCCCGGGCACGGTAGGTGTAGTTGCCGCTGAACAAGGTCCCAACTTTTGGGAGAACAAACTATTCACATAACAACGCAGCTTTCGCCACAGCCTGCATCGTGGCCTTCACCAGCCACCAACCTGCTTGAAGTCCTGGTTCACCCTCGACCCTGTCGAGGTTCTTGGTTGTTGGGATTCATATGACGCTTGCAAAAGTGATGATTGCATGCAGGGCGAAAGAAGCCTTGCTGTGCTTCAGGGATCTTCAGGGTATATCTTGGAATCAGCGGAACGAAACTTGGGGGGAACCAATAGTCATTGAACAATGGGTCAGGGTCTCTCTGCAGCAATGCTGCGGGGGCTTTCAGGAATGACGTGGCATGCAGCTAGCTGCGCAAGATCTCCACGTTCCAGATTAGCAGCTCTGCAGAAATGACGTCTGAGAAATCGAATTCCTGTGATGAGTATGTTAGCAAACATGAACGCTTACCACAATCAGGTCCTCAATCCCGCCCCCTCGAAGCAATATCATGGATGCCAGCACTGGCATAATTATGAAAAACAAGAGTTGCTCTGATTGTCGCTGCTTACGTTACGAGGACACATGATTCATGATGGCAAAGGCTGCCATGATACCTGTTTACTAGAGTACGGCCATTGAGGAATCTGATCAAGCTCACTTGCAACGAGTTGACTTCAGCCTCTTTTAGCGGTTGTTAGCTTCTACACTTACACCGTTTATACTATCACTGCAGGGATGCCCGAGGCTGTGGCTATCATGACCACTCCAACAACTCCTCCCTACTAGGCAGCATTATGCTTTTCATCTTCTGCTCCTCAACATCTACTTCCGCTCGCCCACACCCCTGGCCCCGCCTGAATACAGGCAGCACATCTGCATGCACGACCGCGGCCTCCTCAATGCCTGTGATCCGGAAGCCTTCCTCTACAACCTCCATGCAGGGATAAGGATCAAACACGGGTAGTTGAGAATCCAATGGAAAAGAAAATGGAAAATGAAATGGAAACTAGGGGATATATCCCAACGAAATTTAGTTGACGGCAATCACATGAGCTGTAGTCTAAACTCCTTGAAGGAGGTTATATATACAATATAGGAGAGTACTATGGGGGTTATTAAGGGGGATACTAGGATTTCAGATTATGGCTCACATGAATCAATACTAGTCTGTAGCAAAGACGGCAATGGGTAGGACAACCATGGCTCCTTCCATGCCTGTTTGGACGCGCTTCGGCCTCAGCATAGTTGCCGACCATGAAGACTGATGCCCTTTCTTTCCCGTACAGGGAAAAGGCGAAAGCGAGGTCAGCGAAGCTCCTGTCACAGGAGCAGCCGATTTTGGCTTAGACTACAACACCTGGAAGCATCAATTATGAAGGACTCACGCGACCAGAAAGCTTAGAAGGAAGTAGAGAGGGGTTCAGATCTGGCATGCACAGAACTTCTTGGCAAAAGTCTTTTCCCAAACCTGTCTCATTCAGATTCCGCAGGAATGTGCGGTGCACGTGCGATATTCCAATGAATCCCAGGCCCAGGACCCCATTGATGTTTCCAGGGATGTCTCGGGTCTGCAGGCCGAAGATCACAGGCTGCTGGAGTATACAAGTCCTGAGGGCAGCCGGCTACTGTGCAGGCATCAACTCACTAGTCCTGACTGGACCTCGTTGGAGAGAGCTTTAGAAGGTGGACTCGAAGGTCTAGTCCTGTAGTGTGATCCACTTAGATTACCTTGACTCCACTATCGGTTTAAACAGAGGTCTTGTCAGGCGATGTCTCCAAGCAGACATCGTCGAGACCATACACACCATCCATCTGGCCGATGCCGTAGGTCATGTTCACCTGGGCATTTGTCCACCTCCATGTAAGGGAGTTCTCAGGGTGGAAGATCTTGTGCGACACCCACAGATCTGACGAGCCTTGTCAAGTCTCCAACCGCGAAATGCTTGCAAGACTTCCTGTTTGACAAGTCTGAGTGGTCATTAAAGCCCATGATCACAACAGAAGATGGCTGGAATAACAGTAGCTCGCATAACCTACACCCTCACAAGCCTTTCCCCTGCTGCTAAGCTGTCACACACGGATCCTGCCTGTGTCTAGGATGAGCCTTGCTTCTTGTGCTGGCCTTCCAATCTGAACGTCAGCAGTATAGATCAGGTTCCTTGGATGATCAGAAGATCATGATGGTCGCGGTCATTAAAAAAAAACAATGCTTTCTGGCCTGCACTCGTTCCCATAAACGCTAAACTGACTGCAGCCTTTCTTTGTCAGAACCATCCAGCCAAGGCTTACGAAAGTGCATTTGGTAACATCTACCTGCCTGAAATTCAATCCAGAAGTGTCAACCATGCTTATTGATGTCCTCCCTCACTTAAAGTGTTCTGTATCAGCCATTTCTAGGACCTACGCCCCAAATATGCAAAGAAACAGGAACTGCTCAGAAACGAATGATGCTGCGAGAAACCATGTTTAGGATTTAGGAGTACAAAAGGGATTGCACCGAAATGTGCAGGCTTTGTCTTCCAGCATTCCTGTCATGAATATCTATTCAAATGACATCATAGGCTTCAGGATAAGCGTGCTGTTGAGCGTCCGCTCATTGTGGAGCTCTTCCCACCGCAGCGTGCTGGCACTGAACAATGACCCCAGCGTGTCAAGGGCCAGCAATTGGGTCTGACTCCTGGCCCACAGATTTCTCAAACAGTTTCAGAGTCACTCCCAGTCAAGACTTGCCTTGCCCGCCATGCTAGGGACGAGCTGGAGCCAAGATCTAACTCAATGTTGGGCCGGAGGTCATGCCTGACATACGGGCTGCTCATACTGAGTCATGGTGGGAAAGATGTCCTTTCACGCTGAAGTTGGCCTCTGCAACCGCAGCACATTCACGGCTTCACACAGCCACACCAAACACAGAAAAGCCCATTGCTTCATCCGGGGCCAAGAAGAAGCTGTCGGCGACTGGAACCCCTTGTGCTCCTGGAGTCTCTTTCATATTTGCCTTCATAGCATCGACATGTCTGTCAATTTATCTCATGACTGTGACGGATGCTATCATCCTACCATGCCATCTCATCCGCTACCACTAGCTGAAGCATAAGAGGCGGAACAGTTCACGCACAAGCTAGCTCTCACGATGGAACACGCTTCCAAAAGTTGTCAAACGGTACGACAAGCAAACCAAGCTGCCATGGACTTGGTACCTACTGGCACAGAAAGCGTCGGAAAGGCCCCTCGACAAACAGGGAACAGCTATGCAAACTATGCTGGACCTTCCCCGAACATGCGCAAGCACATTTTTAGTCCAAGCCAGACGTGGACACGCACAGACTAGCAAGTGTCAGGACTGTAAGCGGCATCCCAGCTTGCTTTGCAAGTCTGGGACCACGGCAGGGATCTGGGAGTCTTTGTTCCTAACATCTCTGAGAATTCTCGGTTTGGGGCAATGCAAAGGTGCCCTGCCACAGGTGAGACGTGCTAACTTGGCAGTCACTAGGTTGGTAGCAAGCCACGGGGCTCTTGCAAGAACTTCCAGATGGGCGGCTTGTCGATGTGTGGGTAGGCATTCCTGTGGCAAGCATCTAGTTCTTCTACAATCGCGACATGTTACCACAATACGACTGCAGAGGAATAGTATATAGGGCCCCGGCTTCCCGCCGATGGAAGGCAGCTTGTAGTGCCCAGGCCCTGGCTTGATGGTGGCTCTCTCGCCTGGCACTGCATGGCATGCCAGAGAAAGTCTAAAAAGCTGCGCCCAGTTCAAGGGTATGAATTTGAATTGGTCCGTATTAAAGACCACTTGAGGTTGGTTCCCTGCATTGTTCAAAGAAAATGCGCCTTCCTGCAAGGGATCTGTAACAACGGCTCCAGTTCTTGTAAGTGGGCAAGTCAAATTTGGTACTCAATCTGCGTCACCAATATCAGGGGCCTTGGCTTTGGATACCATGCTTGATTTCCAAAGCCAGCCACTTTGGAATAACAATGGTATATGAAGGGATGCACGTCACTCAACACCCCATAGCTGCTTAAAAGTGATTTCCCGGCGCAACATCTCTTTAATTCAAATGTCCTGCAGCAGAACCCAGTGCAAGCTGGGCAGGGATGCCACGTGCTGGCGAAAGGGGCTCCGTCTTGCCTTGCATGGTGAACCTGACTGCAGCCCGCATGTTACTAATGCAACAATCTGGCCAGCTGTGCAGCTGCGGTTCCGGCCTGAAAGGAGTGATCTTCCCATTCCGTAGAGACTTCTCAACGTTGTACCTCATGAAGGGCAAGCAGTGCAGGCGAATCACTGGTTTGTTTACAGGACTGCTCAAATAATATCCATACAGCTTCTGAGAAAGCGAGACAGCTCTGGGCGCACTCTCCCGGCACTGGTCCCGGGGCAGCTACAGGCTCGCGCCAGGCCTCTCAGAACGCTTCAGCCAAAGACCCTTTCTACAGCAGATGTTCGCATGCCTCCCGACCCTGCGCTGTGTACACTGGAGCCCTCCGAATCTGGCCGCTGTGTTTAAAAGCCTCAGACGCAATGCATAGCAAACAGCAGCACTCAAGCTTGCAACTCGGCAGCTCTCAAGCTTCGGGGGGCTTGAATGCCTGCTTTCCCATCCACATCAGCTGCCGCCCCACGCGTTGCGAAGCTGATTTCAGCTCATACTTTTTGCGGCCGACATCGGCGTCCGCCGAAAGCTGTCATGCTGTGCATCCGACGTTCTGGTCGTACTGCCCTGGCGCTGGCCCATCCTCATCAGAATCAAACATGCCAAGGCAGAATTGCGGTGGCCAGTGTTAAACGCTTCCTCTGAGGTTAGATTTAGCATTGAGATGAACAGCCTGCCAAGCCATCGCTCAAACAATTTGAGTCCAACCAACACCAAGATTGCCAACGTGTGTTGCGCAAATCCAAGGCCAGATGAAGGCTTCTGATAAAGCTGAAGCTAGCCTCGACTTGGACACAAGAATAACAAGCAGAACATAGAGGGAAAGCGCATGGACGTTTAAGTATCAACCTGTCTGGGGCATTTCATGAAAATCGGGGCCAGCTAAACTTCGCAAGAGGAGCAGCTGCAATTGTCAAAAGAGTTGTCTAGCTCTCTCGCCTACCACCATCCACCTCCTGACCCAGGTGCACATTTTTTTCACACTGCCGCGGGTGCGGACACTGCATCCGTCACACATCAGAGATTGTGCGATATCCTATAACCCCGCAGGTGAAGCACGTCGCTTCTTTGACACCGTACGGCCCTAGGGGCCATAATCTCGACTGCTCTCTGCAGATCCAAATTGTCGTGTGGCACTCGGCTTTGTCAAGGCCAGGAGTTCGCGGTATCAATCGAAGTTGTGAACGGTTCCGCTGCAGCAGTTTACCCTTTTGTTCGCAATATGTGTGCACCACAAGTTGCAGGCGCCTTCATTGACTGCCGGCACGCCATGAATCCTCACAGATCTGGCCGTGCGAATAGTTCCCCAATTCATTCCTCCATTTTCGCGAAATGCGCCATCATCTGAGTCCTGATGATTGATGTCTTCAGTCTTCATCTCCGATGAGGCACCAGGAGGCAGGTCTCATCCTCTCCATTCACATTCCACCGCAATGCGCACTGTACTCACTGCGGCTGTCAGCAGATCTCATGAAGCCAAAGATCTTGATGACATCGCCATTCTAGTTTGTTGCAGCATAAACTCATCATAGTATTTGTTGCCAGACCATTTACATGGTTCTCAGAAATACAGATTCTTCAGAGCATCTCTCTGATTGAGTCCCAAGGCGAGATGCACTTCAAAGAGAAGTGCGGCAAGGCTGTCCACAAACCGGCTGCGGCCTTTTCCTCGTGCAGTCTTAGCCTGTTGCACTGTGTGGCCGAGTACCCCGGTGCAGGGTTTGACGAGTGTTTCAACGACGCAACGCAATACTCGGTAGTCTTTGATGGAAGCAACTGCTGGACCCTCTTGCCTTTCATCAGCATACGGCTGAGCACATGGGGTCCAGCGGTTGGAAAAAAGATCCCTCAGCAAACCTTGGACGCGCTTCCGGAGTATCTTCTTGCATGCCAATGAAGAGCCCCTAGCCTTTACCAGCCCTCTCGTTGTCCACTTAAAGCTCTGCAGGCTTGGAGATGGGCTTGCGCCTGCTCCGGCTGCTGTGGCTGCTGTGCCTGCTGCTGTCCTTCTGCACTGTCTCTGGACCTGAGTACGTCAAGAGTCACAATGGCAAAGCACTCAAATGCCTCCTCCTTTGATCTCCCCTATGACTGGTTTCAGCTACATCTTCTGAGATGCCCACGACTTTGGCTGGATCTTGGTGCCTCGCAGGACATGATGGCATTGCCCTGCTGCAAAACAATGAGGCCTAGAAGGTGAAACGTTTGTAATTCGCTTCGGCCGCGAGCGGCGTGGCAAGCTTTTCACGGCGGAGGGGGTCCTCGATCACCCTCCTTTTAACCCCTTGGACACGACTTCCCATTGTTTGCATTTGTTTCAGAGCTTTTTCTCCTGCAATTGCGGACATCCCGCGGCTTGGTTTTTGTTGCTTTCGCCTTCCTTCAAACCTCACTCACTTTGTCCTGACATCTTTCATTTTTTCTTCGTTACAGTTACCTTCCTCTGTTTCTGTGGCTTTCCACGCATGATCTAGCAGTCTGAATCTTAACTTTGTTCTCCCATATGCAACCTTGAAAATGCAACAAATCTTATCACTTGCAACCAACAGCCAGCGGTGTCGCGCTTAAGTGGGCGGTAGATCTAGTACATTGGGGTTGTATAGGGATAATGGAAAAGCAAATGGAAACTACTATAGTATATTAGGGTTATGTAGGGATAACGGAAAAGAAAATGCAAGCTACTATAACATATTGGGGTTTCCCGGTTTTGGGATCCCAGCCCTAAGTGTGTAGGCCCTTCTCGGGCTGTAAGCCCACCAGCATTGAAACATTTGCCTTGCTGCCTTACGCTTACAGCCGAGGCAGTTGGGCGTTTAGGGCATCTCCAGCCCATGCACCAAAACGAACTACGTACATAGGTGTAATATAGGGATAGTAGAAAATGAAATGGAAACTACTATATTACAGGTTATATATATATATATGTAAGATAAGCCGATGCTTGTCACCTAGATTCTCCCAAAGGCCCCTGACCAACTTGCCTCCATTGCACGCAACCGGCGACGAAGCTCCGCAAGGTCGGCACGGGCTGCAGTAGCCTGGCCGGAAGGCATGGGGCCTGAATCCCAAACTGTGTGAACCCAACATCTGGGCTAGATCGCCCAATGACTCCCGGATCGGAATTCACAAGAGCCTACTCGCCACGACCGGTTTCATGATAGGAGAGCTGAGCTACCGCGCGCACAACTTCCTCAAATCTTGCTAATCCTAGGACCGGAACTATCAAGACCCCTCTGCACTCTTGGCACCACGTCTCATCCACAATATGCATAGCATGCAAAGTATCACTGTGCCAGGACTGGTGCAGTAGCTACACTACCATCAATCATTGAGTGACGACTTGAGATTGTAGTCGGACACGCGGCCTGGCTGGATTGTGCGCCGAAAACACGCTCCTTAGAATCAGCCTATCTGCATTCTGTCAATACTGAAGCTTCTGCAGCTTTGAACTCTCTTCCCCCATCTTCTCCAGTCTAGGCGCAGCTTGTTGCAGCACCTCACCGTAGAGGCTGGCAGCTTCGGTGTGTCTGCCCAGGGTGTAGAGCAGAAGAGCATGGTTACTCTTCGCTGTAAGCACCTAAGCGGCCCCCGCAAGTCCGACGCTATGGACCGACACGGTGGATGTGCTGCTCATGGGACTGTCAGGCCGAGTTGGGCACATCATCTTTGTTGTCCAAATGCACAAGGCCCTTGAGCACCCGCTGGGAAATCTTCAAGGCTTCTGCAAGGCGCCCGTCCGCTCTGAGCGTATCTGCCAAATTGCCGAGCGCCCTGACAGGCAAAGAAAAGTGATGTAGGAAAGCTAGAGGTTCCCTGTATGGGTCTTTTTGGGGCTGTCTTTGTTCAAAATGCTGTCGGCCTCAGCTGTGCAGCTTGCTGATCAGACTGCGCGAAGCCCTGCGCGGCGCTCCGCAGCAGCTCCTCGACCTCGGCTCCAGCCTGTCCAGGTCCTCCGACACCACGCAGCAGCATTGCAAGGTTGTTGGCCGTGGAAGCCACCGCTGCTGGTAGACCCCTGTCACCTTCACCTTCACTCGTCCCAGCTGCCAAGGCACACCGAAACCAGGTTTCTGCTTCCCCTGTATGCCCTGCTGCTTGCAACCTTTCGGCTGCGGAGCGCAGAGCTGACACATGCTGCGAGGACTTCACACCCTTTAGCTTGGCGTAGACCTGCAGCAAAACGAGGCTTCACTGCCACCACAGATGCTTCTCTAATTACAAGGCAATTGGGCCTCTGCTGCTTCTTGCAGAAGCCTTGCTTGGGCCAGGCCCCCCGCTGCCGTTGCAGGGCCGGCTGCAAGCTCCAAAGCGCGGGCCAGGCGCATCTCATCAGCACGCAAGGCTGACCCCGCTGCACGCTGCGCTCGCAGAAGTCGAAGGCCCTTGGCCGTGGCTTCATCATGACGGCCCAGCTGCCGCAGCGCATCCACAGCTCCCAGCCGCAAGTCCAAAGTTGTAGCATGGTGTTTGCCCAGGCCTCGAGCGGATGATCGAGTCGCGCGCTCGTAGAGCACGTGTGCTTCCCTCAAGCGTCCCTGCTTCACGCGGGCCAACGCCAGCGCACCCATTGCGGCAATACTGCTCGAATGCTCCTCACCCATAACGTCTGTCAGCTTCTGTGCCACCTCAAGCTGCGTTGCAGCCTCCTCCAGCCTGGAGTAGTGCAGATGGGCTCTCTCTCTCGATCTCGCTCTCGTTCTATCTTTCTTGACTATGCACGTGTTCCACTGCCAACCATCACCAGGCCCTGCCTGCCCACGGCCAGGAGCTGGGATCCCAGCTTCGAAGCACTCAGCAGCGTCGCTCGATGCTCAAAGCCGTACGTGATCTGGCGACCCTGCCACGCAGCCAGCGAAAAGGCCAGCGCCTCCTTCAGGATGGGTTATCAAGGGATTTGTTACAGGAATACCAGGCCAGGAGATCCCAGCCTCATGGCGGCCTGCAGATTCCATTACCTTGGCTTCATCGCAACATGGCGTGCGTGGGCTGAAGAGTTGATCTTGGAGCCTTCAACTTCTTCTGGCCTGCTCACGACAAGCTCTTCGCAACTAGTCTCCGGATTAACTTGCACCAATCGGTCACACGTCTTTTTGTGCAGATGCTGCATCAGCAGGTGCTTTGCAGGGTATTCCAGAAGCCCACACTAATTCCAGCTTAAGTGGAGCACAGCATTAAATTAATTGGCTAACTGCGGACGTGGAGGCTTGCGAAAGGCTAGAAATGAGATAAAAGACTTTTTGCGGGGCATACCATGCAGGGAAGCTTAGGATCCTAGCTGGAAGCTCAGGCGTGCTTGTTCAGGCTTAGGATTTGGATGGCAGAGAGATTGCCACGGCGATCAGGGCGACCGAGACCAGTTTCGAGTTCACGCAAGAGAACAGACTTACATCCAACTCCAGCTGGAATCTTCACATGTTCGTACAACCCGACATGCTCAGGAATTGTCAAATCAACCTAAATAGTTGGGACGCTACACATAAACAGCTCACAAAATTCTCACAGATTGCTGCCCAATAATGTATACACTTGCACGGCAGCATGTTCATCTGGAATACTCCTCCTTGTGGGTGCTAATGTAGCTAC